ATCAGCAACTCTTCATTTTTGGTTGAGTGACTGGTTCTTCTGTTTGAGTGAATACTTCCTTTGGTTGAACAGTTTTTTTTTTTGGGGGGGGGGGGCACTACTAATTCTAGTTAAGCAACTATTCATTCTGATCGAACGATTATTTATTCTGGTTGAAGAATGTTTAATCTGGTTGACACACATTTGTGGGCGACAGAAATAATGTACTTTTCTTCTCCCAAACTTGGTTGAACAAATGTCTGTGCTTTGTCAAACTTCTTACACTTAGTTTACTGAAGAATAATACATACTCGTAATACTGATTACTCCAGGCTCAATCTGACCACCGGCGAATTACTCATTTTAACCTCTCAAAATGTGGTGAATGAGCTCTTCTGCTGGTGGATTAACTAGGTAACCAAAGGGCTATCTGTACTCTGCCCATCACGGGTATCGAAACCCGGTTTTTAGCGGTATAAGTCTGCAGACATATCACTGTGATATAAGAACGTACAACATGTCTTAAACAATAACCAAATATGTATCACAAACAAAAACTTTAGTGATTTGTTTTTCGCACACACATGTACTGATATTAATCCGTTAGTTAATGTGATATATAGGTAAGGTTTGATTATTTCGTGAGCCATACAAAACAATCCGTTTCACGACTAAGTAAATTGGTGTATGGATATGAATATAGTGTATAGAATAAATATCTCAAATTTTAATGTTTTATGTTAATATGGAAACCAGACATCAATGTAGATCGTAAGTTAAACTAATATGTGAAGTATGGAGTCTAGAATATAGTTAGTTAATAATGTTAATTTTACACATACGGAATGAAAACGGGATATATATGGTAATAAAAATAATGTTATTCTAGAGTTTAACCATTTAACATATAAAGCGATAGAAATAGTCCTTTTCAGGACAACGTAGATTATAAATTAAACTAATTAAACCACGAAGTACTCTATACAATTAATCTAACACAAAACATTAACTTTTAGCATTCACATACTTGGTTTATTAGTGAATAAATGGATATTGAAGTAAAAACTTTAAACTATTCTACATTCTAATATTCTGCCTGAAATTTTCGCAATCACGATATAAACTAGTGCATATATACTATAAAGTTAAACTGTGCAGCACTACAGTTAGTTAATGTGATGCATACGTTATTTATGTATAAGAGGGCACGAAACAGTCCCTTTCAAAACTACGTTGACTGTAAGATTTATTAGGAATGAATATAGGTATGATGCATAGACTAAATATCCAGAGTTTGATAATTTTAGGTTATGCGAAAAATAGTTCTGTTAGTAGATGGTAAGCTAAACTAATGTATGGATATTCGTATGTGTAAATCACTAGGTACGCTATTCCAATAGTCAAAGTGTAATGAATGAAATATTAATTTTGCGCTATTAAAACGCTTTGTTTATTATAGTTATTGAACTGAAACTATCAAGTAGAAAGTTGAAATTAATATCGCGTTAAGAACTAAATACAAAGAAATAGGAGTTTTTTATTATATTGTAATATGATATATACGATTTATGTCTAGAGTTTCAATATTTTATGTTGATATGGAAAACAGGCCTATACATGAAGCACCCTATGCATTTTAAGTATTCAAACGATTTGTTTGTTATTGAAGTGAAGCTATAAGGTTCACCCTAACGATACTGCAGGAACTAATATTGTGTTAACTAAGAACTGTAAATAATGAGATAGTACTTACTTGCTTGAAATGTCATGAATATCTAGAATTTGATTATTTTATGTTAATACGATAAATTAGTGCTCTGCGTAGATTGTAAGTTAAACTAGTGTAGGATGATCATCTCGTCGCCCACCCCTAGTGACGCACTTTGGAACTACCCGCCCCCTAGCAACATATTTTGGAATTAACCGCCTCTAGTAACATAATTTGGAACTACTCGTCCCTAATAGCACTTTTTGGGGACACCTGCCCTCTGGCACCACTATGTGAAACTATGATGTCACGTGACCTCTCGGTCTAAAAAAAAAACTCTTCCCCTCAGTACATCTTCTGGTGGAGTTACCATGGTAATAAACAAGGGTGTTAAGTTAAGGAACGCTTCCAACCATACCTTGAAGTCACTAACTGTTCCCATAAGAAAGACATCCAAGGGAGCTGGAATCAGTGTAATCCCCATCGACCACAAACCTGTCTAGTTCTTCATTGCAGACTCTATGGACTGTTGTGTATTTGGCGTGCATGTACAATAGCGGAGTCCATGTACAATAGAGAACCTATGGGTAGCGGAATTCATGTATTGTGGAGAATCTGTGGAAAGTGACGTCCGTGTACAGTGAAGAAACTGTGGAAGGTGAAGTCCATGTGCAATGAGTGGAGAACCTATGGAAAGCGAAGTTAATTTATAATAGATAATCTGTGGAAAACAAAGTCCTTGTACGGTGAAGAATCTGTGGAAAATGAAGTCCATCTACAGTGGAGAACTTATGGAAAGCAAATTCCTTGTACAGTGGAGAATCTGTGGAAAGCAAAGTCCCTGTATGATGGAGAATCTGTGGAAAGCAAAGTCCTTGTATGGTGAAGAATCTGTGGAAATCTTGTCTAGATATGTGGTTAAGATGCATCTTCTTGTCCTTGGCAAAAGTTTGTTTAATGGAAATTGCGGCGTTTAGCAATAGTGTGTAACATGGACGCCAGACTGAGCACGGTCAACAATGGTGAAATTGTTTCATAGGGCAGTGCAAGACTTAGAACATCGTTCTTACAAAGAGTTATTAAAAAAAAAAGATACTTTGAAACCATTTACGCTATATGTCGATTATCGCAAACTATAACTCTGGCGAGGGATTTGTTTTTAATATCACTTGAAGAAATTCTCATGAATTAGATGAATATCTTGTGATAATAAACATGTAGTGTGGAAATACAGTTTTACTGAATCATTCCCACATTTAAAACGACACTAAAAACGTACTTAGAAAAATATTGCTAGAAATAATTACATCTGGTAAGTGACGTGTCAGACTTTCCGAAGTAACTTTTTACAGCCCTGATTCTGTTCGTTTAGTTTTATTACTCTCGTGTGCTTTATCTAATTGGTCTTTTTTTGTACTATTCGTTTATGTTATTCATAAGCTTTTTTTTGAAGACTAAAACCTTGTGCAATTTCACTAATACGGACTAAATATGTTCTAGTTTGAAAAGTATCAAATTAGTGAAAGGAGTTTACAAGAATTTAGCTGGTTTTTTTTTCACGTCTTTATGAATAGTCCAGTGCACGTTATCATAAATTTGTGGAGCCGGGCGTAGCCTAGTAGTTAGCATGCCGGACTGTGAATTTGAGGTCATTGGTTAGCTTCTCCTTACCACAAAATACACGCTCTGTACTTTGGGGCCGAGGGTGCGTTATTAGAGTAATCATAAAATCTTACTTTTTGATTAGAGTAGCCCAAAATTTGGCGATAGGTGCTGTTGAATAGCTGCCTTTCCCTCTTAGTTTGTTAGCTGGAAATTAGTAAAAACCAGTGCATACAGCCCTTATGTGTCTTTGCATGGATTTCCGAAACAAAAAAAAAACAACGTAAATTTGTGTTGTTGATGTTTTTAACGTCAAGTTAAGCAATGGACCATCTGCATTCTGTTCTGTCTACCAAGAGGATGCTAGCGATGTACGTTCGTAAACTTACCATTGATCCACCAAGAGGACTTGAGTTTGTTTTAGTGCAAATCAACATGAATTTGTGACCTAAAATGAAGATGCACAAGAAGTTTGTTTGCTTTGTTTTGTTTTATTTCGCGCAAAGCTACACGAGGGCTATCTGCGCTAGCCGTCCCTAATTTAGCAGTGTAAGACTAGAGGGAAGGCAGCTAGTTATCACCACCCACCGCCAACTCTTGGGCTACTCTTTTACCAACGAATAGTGGGATTGAACGTCACATTATAACGCCCCCACGACTGAAAGGGCGAGTATGTTTGGTGTGACGGGGATTGCACAAGAAGAGAATATTATAAAAATTACCGAAAACTCAGCGAAAAGCTGCACAGTGGCCTATCTATGCTGTACTTACCCTGGAGGATCGAACCTCGAATTTTAACGTTATAAGCCCTCGAACTTACCGCTGAGCTAGCAGACAACCTGAACAAATGATAAACATAATATTCTCTTGAACATCATTTAAGAATGTGATTAATGTCCTTCGCTCCTTCTCCCACCCCCCGCGTTTAGAATGAAAACTTAAAAAGGTCCACATCAGGAGTACGAACAGCCAGAAATATTTAAATTTAAGCTTCACCTGATTGATATTAGCGAAATAAAATGTCTGAAATTCTAAGTCAGGTTTATTATCTGGAGACTGAAAATTTTAAGCCCCTTTGTGGCCAAACTTTAAGTTTGGGGGCCTATAACGCTAAAAATTTGGGTTTCGATACCTGCAGTGCTCACAGCACTTAACCTATTATGTAGCTTTGCGCTTAAAAACGAATAAAATTTTGGAGAGGTATAATAATTAACTTGAATAAGTGAACAGTTTTATAACTGGAATTACATCGTTTGGTTGTTTTAGAGCAAAGCCACTTCGGGCTATCTGCTATGTCCACCGAAGGGAATAGCACCTCGGATTTTAGCGTTGTAAATCCGTAAACTTCCCGCAATCCCACCGGGGGACAGAATGACTTCGTATGAAATGCAATTGTTTGGTCGTTTGTAGCACTTCCACGATGTTACGTTAGGTGTAACATGATCTAGAGAGATGACCTATTTTCCGATTGACAGATTACGGTCAGTTCTGGTTCTACTTCTACTGGTTTTTATAATCCGGAGAAGTAATGTGGTGGAAACAAAAGTTTTTGATGATAGGTACATTAACATCCCTGGCGTACTCTTCTTAATAGTTCAGATGTTAACTTTAGCTTCTGTAATCTGGAGAGATAACCTCGGTATTTTCACGATAATGTTAAATGGGTCCAGGAATAAACGAATTGCTCACAACGTTATCTTTTTCTCTACAGGAGACTTAACGGGAACAAACTTCCATCTTTACCCGACATGCTGTTCTCCACTACACCCAAATTGAACCGGTTGTAAGTATCGTATTCGTATAATAATTTTCTTCCGCTCGCTCATCGCTGTTGGTGTGTCTATCTCTTTTTGTATTTGTGTACACCCTACAAGTTAACGCTTTTATAACCAGCATGGGCACATTACAATCTTCTTCGATATATCGCGAATTTTACCACCATAAATACATTTTGGTCAAGTGTTTTATGGAAATTAATCGGAATTTAACCCATATTTTTTTTCTAAAGTGTTATAGCTACATTAATACTCGAAACAATGAAGAAAGGCACACAAAATCATGTTTGTAATGCACCTGTATTTGATATCTTGGTAAGGAGGGGGCTAAGACAGCTATACCTATCAAACAATACAACTGTGGCGTCTACTAGGTGGAAGCCAAGCTCTAACAATCATTTATCACAACTGTCGTGTCCACCAGGTGGAGGTCAAGCTCTACCAATCACATATCACAACTGTCGCATCCACCAGGTGGAGGTCAGGCTCTGCCAATCAAACTACATAACTGTCGTGTCCGCTAGGTGGAGGTCAAACTTTAACAATCAAACAACACGGCTGTCGTATCTACTAGGTGGGGGTCAAACTCTAACAATCATTTATCACAACTGTCGTGTCCACCCGGTGGAGGTCAGGCTCTACCAATCATATATCACAACTGTCGTGTCCGCTAGGTGGAGGTCAAACTTTAACAATCAAACAACACGGCTGTCGTGTCTACTAGGTGGGGGTCAAACTCTAACAATCATTTATCACAACTGTCGTGTCCACCCGGTGGAGGTCAAGCTCTACCAATCATATATCACAACTGTCGCGTCCACCAGGTGGAGGTCAAACTTTAACAATCAAACAACACAGCTGTCGTGTCCGCTAGGTGGAGGTCAGGCTCTACCAATCATTTATCACAAATGTCGTGTCCACCATGTGGAAGCCAGGCTCTACCAATCAAACAACACAGCTGTAGTGTCCACTAGGTGTAGGTCAAACTCTAACAATCAAACAACACAGCTGTCGTGTCCACTAGGAGGACGTCACAGTTAATAAACTTTTGTGACGCGTTTCTTAATGGGTTTCAAAGAGTACTTAATAAATCAAGTTATATTTTAGATCAACTTATTTTGCTTTGCTTTTCTTGAAACTACAGTAAACTTTAAATTTATTATAAACTAATGTTTTCTCTTAACACATTAAATATCTTATAAGGAACTTTCACTGGACTTCTCACGGTCATTACTGATATTGACTACATTTATTGGTAAATAAACTAAATTTGACATCTGTCATGGTGCTTAGTCATAACGAAGTAAGTATTTACTCTCGAATAAGGTGTTCTTCCCTAGAACTGTAAATGATTGCTCCTTGAGTGATGAATTATAGTTATAACTCTGATTTTTCTGATGAAACCGAGTTTAAATTGACTTTGCAGTTAAATAATGAAAAATGAATTATTTACTTTCACTTATGGCAGTAATACTTATTTCTTATGTTTATCCCAACCTATTATTTAATAATTCTTATATTTTCCATGCTTCATCTTTCTTTTGTGTTTCCAAAATAACTATAACAACTGTTGTTGTAACAAATGGTCTATATAAATGGTATTCCGACCCCTACTGTACACGTTGTATTCCAGCTGGCGTGATGAGCTCAGGACTGAGCAAAACGCGTCGTTAGCAATGGATATAACCAATATAGCGTGATTGGAATAATATTATTATAATACAGATTTTTAATTCTTGAAAATCCCCAAGGGAATAGATTAAGAACGTAGTGTTAAAAAAATATAATAGGCCTAGCATAATGTTTTATAATAAGTGTAATTCTGATTATGCTTCGCTAACTTGTTAAAGGCGTTCACACCATAACAGTTGTTTACTTTAGTGTTGTTGCACGTTTGGCATAAGATCTGCAACAACTTTATTTCCCGAAAAATTCTTGGTTGTTTACCAAACTTTCAAAAGCTATTTTCCCCCTGCAGGTGGTTAAGGGTACGTACAGAATCCGTTTTACATTACTGAACCTCCACCCTGTTTAAGAATGATTAGGTGTTTTAGTAAAGCAGTTGGTTCATTGGGAGGTTTGATAAAAAACAAGTGTTAAATTATATATAAACTGTTATCAACGATCAGTACTTCTTAATACTAAAGACTCTCGTGGACTCTGATGATACTAATTAGAAGTGATTAAAACAAAATCGATCATCCAGCACTTCAGCCACTCTGATAGTAAAATGGTGCATTTTTAATTAGGTCTTATTTGGAGGTTGACGCCTTTGGCTAATTTCGACTTACTCATAACACCTTGCATATTTATATGTTACTCTTTTCTCTATTTAGTTAGGTTTAACTAGTCTTCTTTTGAACTTATTGTTACTTGGTAGTTGCCTGCGAAAATAATGCGTGGCTATGGGTCCACAGCGCTTTTGTTGAATGGTTGGTGCTTGGGTCATTTCCTGCTTGTGTAGTGTCGGAAAAGCTTATTGACTTAGGATGCTTTGTCAGAAACAATGTAGTCTGTTGTTTGAAGTAATATTTCCAATACTGTGACCAGTCCATTAAAATACACTTATAACAATGACTGAAATGTAGATTTCGATATAGTGAAGAAACAGACAAACTATAACTCTATAACGTCTTTGGCTTGGCTAATATTGAACACAAAGCTACACAATGGATTATCTTTGTTCTGCCCACCACGGGTATCGAAAACTGAATTTTAGCATCTGCAGCCTTACCGCTGAGCTACTGGAGGGGAGGGGGAGGAGCTAATGATATCGAAGTGTAAATTTTTTTTTCTCTCTCTCTCTCAGTTCACTGTTTTTATCAATTTATTGCATATTTTGACAGTTTCTTTTTCTACGTTGATCATGAGTTTCATCAGTTTTTCTCTCACCCTGAATGATCTATAAAATTACTAAAGCAGTAATTTGACTCTTAAACAGAAATAAATACTTAAGATATAAGATTGATGTGTGGCTTTTGACTCACCCAAAGAAGTGATCCGCGCATGTTTTCGATCTGGGGAGGAACCCGCCCCCTGGTGTAAAATTTCACATATAAGGTATGTGAAAAGGCTTGGGTCTGCCAACTTTATGTATAATAACTATATTACAAATGACTTTAGTAAATAATTACCATATAGCTTGAACAAACCTACTGAGTAGATGCAACGAAGGGCAAATAAAAAAAGCCCAATATTCATTTAGTGTTTGTGATATTTTGAATATTAAAAAACAAACGACTTTTCAATATTTTTTTTTTTTTGTGTTGGGAAGCACATTAGAATGGAAAGCTTGTATATGTAAGACACAAAGATTTGTAAGCATAATGAAATATTTCATACATACTACAGACAGACCAACGCTCTGTCGAAACATGTAGTATGTATTAAAATATTTCCTTATGCTTGCAAATCTTTGTGTCTTACATATACAAGCTTTCTAATTAACTTAGTAAAAATGTGTTCACGTAGTCAGAATAGTACTGGGAAGAAAGTGAATAGAGCAGTGGTGTCAAAGGTCAAAATGGAAGAGGCGAGAACATCGTTTTAGGTCAATATTAAACAAGCAGAGGAGAGGGAGGGCTACAGTAAAGTAAGTAAAAATAGCTTATTAACCGTAGAAGGCTAAGAAAGCAAGCTGTGATGTGTAACAAATTGGTTCGTCTTGTTGATTGTATTTTAATCATTACCGCAGGACACGGGGGAGGAAAAGGGAAGATAAATAACTTTTTTCACTCAGTCTCCCTCTACAATAGAATTTTTTTATCCTTACTTCTGGTATACTTTGTTAATTTTTTTCTCTCTTTTCCTTGGTGAGTTAGGCCTGGCATGGCCTGGTGTTTAAGGCACTCGACTCCCAATCTGAGGGATGCGGGTTCGAATCCTCGTCACCGAACATGCTCGCCCTTTTAGCCGTGGGAGGGAGGCATTTATAACATGACGGTCAATCCCACTATTTGTTTGTGAAATATTAGTCTAAGAATTGGCGTTGGGTGGTGTTGACTAGCTGCCTACCCTCTAGTCTATCAATGCTAAATTAGGGACGGCTAGCGCAGATAGCCCTCGGGTAACCTTGCACAAAATTCAAACCAAACCTTGTTGAGTTAATCCACTACCTTTGCCTCCATCCCATCAGAATTTGTCTCTTGAACCTCTGCTTGATTTTGTTCTGTGTATGGGTGCCAATGTTCATTTAACAAAAGCACGTAAATCAACGGCCATGTTTGGCTACAGTAACTGGCGAATGTTTCTCCCTGAAATTTCAGCTTAAACCTCAGTAAACGGACATTTTGCATTTATATAAAATAAACACAATATACAGCTCTATGTATGCAAGGCATAACAACAGTAACAACAACAAAACACGCGTGTCAGCCAGAAATTAACGAGTTTTTTTCCGTATCTACGAAACGTAGCTGGTTAATAAATAAATTGTTTACCAGGTTTTTACTTGGAAATACTACGAGTTTTTTTTTAACCCAACACACACCACAATGGTGTCTTTATTCTTCTTCATTGTGGCGAAACCGATGATCGTGAACGGTTCCTTCTCAGAAAATTGTTTTCAACTTTTCTTTCTTATTTCTCCTTTCTCTGGATGCCAAAATGACCTTCGACATTGTACGCAGGGGCAGAAAAACCAACCAATCACTGCTCGATGACAACTGGGACAGCTTTTATCTCAGTGGCAGGCCTTCTCTTTCATAAACAAAAACTCGCAGCTGTCCATCTTTCTTGATCAAACTCGTCGTGTAGTTCGCGTTTTTATGCTTCATTATTCGATAATTACGAAAAGCACAACAGAGAAGGTATTGATGGTTGTGTGTATATTGAGGAACATAAAATTAAAACACTTTCCACTTCTGTACTTTTTATCTCTATTTTTTTTCTATTTAAAGAACTATCGGTCTTTTCTTTATATTCCAATTGTACTTTCCTTGTACGCCTCCCAGTGGCACAGCGGCAAGTCTTGAGAAGTTAGAACGCTAGAAACCGGGTTTCGATACCG